ATTGATATACTTTATCACTGATAATTCTATGATTTTTCTTTTTTGTGATGTAAATTTAATAGTTAACATAAGTTTATACAAGAAAAAAATGTCTTAATATTTACAAATTGATAAAAAAAATGAAAGTTAACAATGTCGTACCCTCGTTTCTTATTGGATTCCTAAAAGACAACATTTATAATGAATTTTAATATTTTTTTGAATTTTTTTAAAGCTTAATCCAATCGGGTCAGACAATTCCCGATCTGGATCGCCGATTCGTCGATCCGGATGGGTTTTTGGAGTGCCCGATTTGGGGCACCGATCGATTTTTTAAACCACTAGTTTAAGGTCATATAGTTTGGACCATGGTTATGCAATTTAGAGTTGTGCAAGTAAACCATGGCTATGTACTTTAAGGTCATGCAGCGCGGACCGTAGTTATGCAGTTTAAAGTCATGCAACTAGGACCATGCAATTTAAGGTCGTACAACTAGACCTCCGCTACAGTTTATAGTTATATAGTTTGGACCATGGTTATGCAGTTTAGAGTCGTGCAACTAGACCATGGCTGTCCAGTTTAAGGTCATGCAGCGTGGATCGCGGTTATGCAATTTAAAGTCATGCAGCTAGGATCATGCAGTTTAAGGTCGTGCAACTAGACCACCGCTACAATTTAAGGTCATATAGTTTGGACCATGGTTATGCAGTTTAGAGTCCTGCAACGAGACCATGGTTGTGCAGTTTAAGGTCATGTAGCACTGATCGTAATGGGTCGCCATGTAGGTGAGACTCCATGGGGAAAGGGTTTGTGGTCAGAAACCTGACTCTCTAGGGACAAGACAGGTAAAATCAGCAAGGGGTTCAAATAGGAAGGCTGACTTCATTGGGGAAAAGGGGGCAAATACGGGTCTCTTTATATCCTTGAGGCCAAATGGGTGCAAGGCAGACCATTGGGGGGTTACAGCAGCAAGAATGACCCTAACTCCATTAGGGATAATAGTACCCATATGGTTCTCTTACTGGGGAGAAGCCATGACCTGTTTTGATCGACTTAGGTTCTACTTTGCTGGAGGTACTAGGTCAGAGTCAAGGTGCAACTTTACTGGGGATAGCGATAGAACATACACGGCTTCGGCCTAGGATGCTTAAAATACAGCCGGTGCCTGGTGCAGCCACCATTATTTCTTGAGAATGCTCGACCGGAGCTGAAGACAACCAACATTGTTCGCTAACCAGTCAGCTGGTGCTAGATTGTTAAAAACACAACCGGCGCTAGATTATTAAAATAAAGATGGCGACAAGGACGACACGTGCTTGAATATAGCTGGCGCTGAGTTGCCGAGCACACAGCCGATGATGTGGTTGTTGAAACATAGTCGGCGCTAGGTACCTTTGACCACGTAGTCGGCACTGGCTATGGATTAATATTCAGGCCGTCACTCGAGACCGACCCGGTCTAGCCCATTTGTTGGAATTTTACAGGCGACAATGAGAGTTGCCTCGGGCCTTAGGTCAAAGCCTGACCCAGTCTAGCCTGTTTGTTTGAATTTTTCAGGTGGCGATGAGAGTTGCTTGTATGAGGGGTGTTTGAGGGTAGTGTTAGCTATATAAGGGGGGTAAAACCCCATTTTCCTTCACTTTTCACCAAAGGTAAAAAACTTAAACTTTCAAAAAAAATTTCTAACAGTGAGGAGAGAGTGCCTGATAGAAACTCCAGCAAGCAGTGGGATTCCAGCAAGACTTTTGCAGGGAAGGCTTCAGCAAGCAGAACTCTGCCAGAGATTAGTGAAGTTGCAGGAAAAGGGAGTGAGAGAGCTCTTCAGGGAGTTTTCGAGGCTTTTTTTTGTTAGCACAGGGGGCTTTCTGGGAAACGAGAGAACTCCGACCATGGTATTTCAAGGGTAGAAGAGGTGGGACGTGCTGCAGTGGGCATTTCCATGAGTCTTGGAAGTCTTTTGGTGGTTTAAAAGGGGGGATTATCGAGGATTTCTCGGTAACTTAGGGAAAATAGCAGAGGTTTCCAGGGGCGTAAGGGGAGTTCCGACAAGAAACCGAAGGGCCAGGGAATGAACAGTCATCGGAGGTGAACTGCCACAGAGAAGGCGAATAGTTACCTCTTTTGTGTGCCACTGGGCACGAAAGGACATGGCGATGGCTGACACTCCCTCATGTGGCGGGCGGCACAAAAGGACATGGCGACGGTTGTCAGCCGGCGTAGCAAGGCTCGAGGTGTCACGCGTATAATCTATGACACATTCAAGAGATCTGAACATAGCCGACGCTAGACATTTGGTGAGCACAGCCGGTGCTAGGCATTAGAAAACATAGCCGATGCTAAGCATTTAGCAAGCACAACTGGTGCTAAGTGTTGGAAGAGACAACCGGCGCTAAGTGTTGGAAGACAAAAACTGGCGCTAGGATTTGGCAAACGCAACCGGCGTTAGTCTTTGGCAAACACAACTGACACTAGGCTTTGGCGGAGGCAGCCGACGCTAAGCTTCAAGTGCACAGTCGGTGCTGATCCAGTGCCTTAACAATTCTAATTTGAGAGTGAATCACTGAGCCCCCTTTATAATGGCCGGTTCTCCTTACCAAATTCTAGACATAAAGAAGCTTCCAAAGGAGGGGGAGGTCGGCACCCATGATTTTACCGGTGAGGCTCTATCAAGGGGCGAGCCCATTTGGCTGACCAAGCCAGTATGACGACCAGAGTGGCCTCTTAGTGTCACTTTCGTTACCAACCCCATTTGTTTTAAAGTTCGCGAGGGTAATGACGATAATGTTAGTATTGAAGAAGGGGTGGCACTCCTTCATTGTATGCACAAGAACATAGCTTCTGGAGAGAACTTGCCTACCCTAGTGAAACGAATGATACAGGTGAAGGGGCAACTGATGTGGTCAGCAAAAGGCCTCTGAATTCAGGGGGAGCACCAATACTTGGAGGGATACTCTTCCTGGACCGCCAAGGTCTTGGACCGCCAAGGTCTTGGTGTCTCACAGAAGCATTGTTGAACGTGCTTCTCTATTAGTAGCGATCCAGTGTTCGAGCAGCTACTATGATCGGTGCTCCAATACTGTGAAGGTATTACTGGAGACATGGAGCCATGTTAGCAATATCTGGCTTATTGGGCATGGGGAAGCATGAATTTCTTTGCTAGATCTTCATTTTATTGGGGATCTTTCAATAATCAGAGCTGTGTATGATGAGTTCGTGCCCCAAAACTCAGTCATCTTTGGTGGTGCTAGCTTGGGGGGTGAAGAACTGCCTGCCAGTCTTCAAAAGATTTTCGAGGATTACCAGTTGATCCATGCCAAGGCTAGCAATGATCAGGTCACCTTCACCAAATGGGTGAAATTATTCTGTGGGGACTATCCCGAAGGCAGTCGAGGTACTTCAAAAGGGAATGGGAAGGCAGTTGTGCAGGGGACGCCTCCTGTGCATCAATTCGAGATCAGTGATGACTGTGTCTTCTTGGCCACGTATTTGGCCTTGTTTTTGTGCAAGTTCATGCTCCCTAGGTGGGCAGATGACATTCGTCCAGGCATATTGTATGTGGCATGTGACATGGCAAGAGGACGTGGGTATTCCCTTTTTCAGCTAGTTTTGTGTAATATTTACCATGGCTTAGGGGCCATCTCCCGTGGAACGGCCTACAAAGGCAAAGAGGGAGGGAATGGCATTGTAGAAGGAGAGGCTTTTCCTGGGGATTTTAACTCCATTCCCTATCCATTACGTGTACGGGTGGCTAGGGACCTATTTCCCTGACACTTATGTCAAGCACCAGGGCTAAGGAGATAATCTATGGCCGTTCTTGATGAGGATTGCCAATCAAAGGGCTATCTTCCATACCCCAGAGGAAGCTTGGGGTTTATTTGAGAATGGATCTCTAAACATGCAACGAGTCCCATTTCCACCGCCCGTGCTTTCATTGATGAACTGGGGAAGGAGCTAGACGGTGCTTCAATAACCATTAGGGAGCTGATGTTCATTCTGATCGTTAGAGGAGTTCTACCTTATCAGACTCTGCATAATGCAAGACTAGAGGGATATTTCCCCCACCGCTTCGCCAGTCAGCCCTTCTCCGTATTTTTTGAAAGGCGTTGGGGCAAGGGGAACATGAGGAAAACGGACGAGCTTGCAAATCTTCGCGAGAGCTAGTTGTCAGAACACATACGGACTGCTTGGTCCACGTCTAGAAATGACAGAGATCAACAAGTATGCATTACCTCACTTCGGCAGGACGGTCAGAATGACTGTAGCTTATTTAAACTAGTAGAGAACTACCAGCAAAGGATATTGGGATGCTAATCATCCATGGAAAGGCGAGAATGGTAACTGGCGCCAAGATACCAAGCAGAGGAGACTGGTGGATACCCCTGCTCTTGGTGCGGTATTTGTCTTAGAATGTCCCTCTAACTGGCGAGCTTTTGGATTGTCGTGCAAAATAGCAGCTGATGAAGCATCACCGGAATTTCTTGCAATGAAACAGAGAACTAGGAGTGTCTTTGATAACCTCAGTTCCATATTAGAGTGGGATGAGGGCCTAAGGGTTCCCGGTTACGAGAGGCATCCTACTTAGGACTTGAATGGGCTAATCAGGAGTGGTCCCTATAGTAAACTGGCTGAGGGCCCTTCTCAAGGAGGGAGTTCGAAAGCGGCCGCTCCTTCTTCGACAGGGGGAAAGAAAAGAAAGCACTTGACCACCGCCGACACTCGTGCACCGTCTCCAGTTAGTGGGCGTACTCGGAGGCGTAAGGGTGCCAACCTTCCTATGACGTCAGAACCAGAAGGTAGTTCTTCCTCCTTTGACCTTTTGGCAACTCCCCCAATATCTCCTTTTGTGCTTTCTCAACCATCTTCTGTCTCTCTTGAATTATTGTCTTCTTCTTCAGAGACTGAAGTGGATAACCCCAGCCCTTCTGAGCCCATTATTATTGCTTCTGATTAGGAAATGACTCCGGATCTTGGGGAGGCACCTCTGAGTCCAAGGGTAGTTCTTGAGTAAGAGCCGGCTCCGATGGAGACTGACGAGGCTGAAGGCACTGAAGCAACAGCTCCAGGAAGGGGCACTGATGTTGATGTGGCCTTCGTACCTCAAGAGTTTAGTGCCCCGACCGAGGCAGGGGCTATGACTCAAGAAGGGATCGTGATGAATGATGCCCCTGAGCACCAAGGGGTTGCGGATCCCGTGGGCACAGATCGTGGAGATGAGGGAGTTGAGCTTTTTGTGGCCGAGGTTCTGGCTATTGAGGACGCATGCCAGATGGAAGAAACAACAGCTGAAGCTGAATTATCTGGAGAAGGCCAGAGGGAAGAGGCAGTTCCTAAACTTGCCAATGCCGAAGTGGCAGTTCAAGAGAGCGAGAAGCATGGCGAACAGGTTTCTTCAAACCTGTGGTTACAAACGCAGAGGCCCCTGTGGACGAGGGTCAAGGCGAAGAGGATGTTCCTGAACTTGCCAACGTTGAAGTGGCAGTTCTGGAGGGTGAAGAGCAAGGGGAACTTGTTTCTTCAGAGTCTGTCGAGATACAAGTGGAGGTCCCCGTAGACGAGGGTCAGTGCGAAGAGGCCGATATTGAAGAATCTGGACAAGTCAAGGCTGGGACTGTCTCTGGGTTTGAGGTGCAAGAAGCTCTGGGCTTTTCCATTGTTCCAGAGGAGCCAGTGGCTCAGATGGCTATCATTTTGACAAGCCTGATCCTTGAAGTCGAGGTCTCTCCGGCAATAGTACTCTCAACATCATCATCTAAGCCTATTTTTTGTGGTGTTCTCGCATGATTGTAGGCATGCTTCGAGCTAGCCTTCAGGGCTTAGGGGAGCTGTCTTTCAATGAGCTGGGTGAAGTTTTTACCAAACTGAGGGTGTTTGCTGCAAACACTATAGTAGGGGGTGTCCCATAAGTCCTTCCTCATTTTGATGCAACACTGAACGAGTTGGAGAGCTGAGGGGTGGGAATGCTGCGACGCGAGATGGAAATCAGTAGGGTAGCCTCCCTGGAGGAGTCAATGTTGCGTCATCATGGAAAGATAGATTCCTATACTGAGAAGAAGACCACTATGACTAACCGTCAGCTAGGACTCAAGAGCGAGGCTAGGGCTAGCTATAGGAGGATGGTTGAGATAAGAGAGGAGATGAGAGTATTAAGGCAAGAATTTTTTGGTCTTAAGACATAAATGATTCAGAGAAATTCCTTAGAGGCCTCTTTGGTTGAAGATTTATCTGAACCCTCTCGCACCATCGAGTCTGAAATTGTAGCAAATGGAGGAGGAAACCCAAGTGGTGGCTGAACTAAAGGAACGTGTTCCGGACCCCGAGGCTTCTTCTGCGGCATACCAAGCAGAGATCAACAAGATAATTGATTGCTTTTGAATATTTCTTTTTCTTTTTGCCAGTACTTTGCAAAAATTTTGAACTCATGAATACAATGCTTCTTTTTCTCTTGTGGCTGACTTTTCTGTAAAACTTTTATTCTCCTCTTGCTTTGCTACACCTCATGTGGCCTTTCTAGGGCTTGCACGCCTCTTTATTGTCTCAATGGGCTAATACCCTAAGCCTTGTTTAGTCCCGTGTCTGCAATGACTTCAAAATGGGGAGCCATTACTTCTCTCCTTTTGACTTTTGATTGACTAAGGGCTCGTAATTCATTTTCCTCATTATTTGATGAGTCTGTTCACTGTAAATAGTCCAATCGGGAGAGGCCTTGGCCTCCATTAGTGGTGCATTCACTTCAAACCAATCATAGCCTTTGGTTTCAGGCATGAACTCCTTGAGATGTTTTGAAGCAATGTGTATAACCTTCAATTGGCTCTGGAGACTGGGGTTCGTGCTCTTGAGGGGAAGAAGATTGTCCTTTCTCAAACTGGCCTCCTCCGGCCAAACCAAGGAAGTGTAGAACTTGTGGCTGGTCACTGGTCTGAGGAGCATCCTCTATACTTATAGCAACCGAGTTTTGAAAAATCTTGTGTGGCAATTGATGTGCCGCTCCTGCTTTCAAGAGTGTAATGGGGATGTGCAGAACTTTTTGATGGTCCGGCGTATAGGTGACTTTTGGAGCAGAGAATTCTATCCCCATGACTTGCTCAATCTCAAGGATGACCTCTAGTTCGTCTTCTAGCCAAGGTGGCCCAAATTTGGGGGCAGAGGACGAGGACTCCTCTTCAAGTGAAGAAGGAGTTTCATCAGAGGTGATTGTGGGGATGTTAGAATGAATAGGGGTTAGGGGGAGAATTCTGCCCTGTTTTCTTCTTCTTTGAACATGCTTACCAATGTTCTCCCCACGTCCTCAACATCTTCATGTGATGAAGATCCTATTTTAATTTTGGGCTTATGATCCCCATCATTTAGCTTCTGAGGTGACATAAGGTCTGTGAAGTAATACTTAGCATCAACATAGTGAGTTTCGGCTGTAGGAAACGATCTTTTGTCAGTATAAGTCATATGCTGTCTCCCATCTTGACTGTACTTGAAGCACTGATGCAACGTCGATGGAACCACTCCTTGGTCATGGAGCCATGGCCGACATAGGAGGATGTTTTAGGAAGTATCGGTGTCGATTACATAAAACTGGAAGTAATCATTCAGCTCACCGACTGTAATTCAGTTGATGGGGCATGCATGTAATTCAACGATCACAAAGAGAGGGCGATTATGAAACTTTTCTCCCAATTGCAGATCATCCTCTGAAAAGGTGATTGGCATACATCCTTCTAAAATTGCCGGGTCCACATTGATGAGATCTAAGTTCATCTCATACACCTCTGGATTAGAGAGGGCTTGAACCAAAGTCATGCGATAATCCTTTGAGAGCATAAGGGCATCGTAGATGCTGAGAAGGGCTCGGAGCTTCCTCAAGTGTCCTATCACATCATATTTCACCTTTTTTTTATCAAGGCATTGTGCTCTTAGTTCTGGCACTTGTTTGGGTAGTATATTGGGATGAGGAACAAATTTAGGTGGAACAGGTTTATTTTGGCCTGCTGGCTAGCTTGATTGCGCAACGGGCTTGATTTGGATGATGGAAGTTTGAGGTTTTGGAAGTGATTACGTCAGGGGTATCCCAGGGAATTGGAGAATAGGTGGATTGTTTGAGGTATTTGGATTAGGAGGGAGCCCATGAAGCTGGAGTGTAGGCAAGTTGGTATTTGGATCAGGGAGAAGCAGCGAACGAGGAAACTTCAAGGTGCCCGCCTTCTGCATTGGAGGTTGCAGCATCTTCCTCGATCTGAGACTAATCTGCCCCGTGCTGGGTGATGTTCTTGAGATTTTCACCATGTGACAAGCCTTCTGAGAGTAAAAACTTTGTCCCCTTGATTCTCTTAGTCTCTGCTCAAAGTCAGGCTCAGGGGGCCCTTAGGGTTTCTTTGACTTCGTCTTATTGTGATTCTTTGAAGAGGACGACTGTGCTTTAGCTCGAGATGGCAGAGCATCAGCAACTGTTAAGAATCATGCTTTCTGGGCTAGTGTCTTCTTCATTCGATTTTGTTGCATTTTGGTTATATTGGATCCCTCGAGTTCTTTGTCAAGAGCCTCGAAGTTGGGACATATCAAGCTGGTACCTATCAGAGACACAGAAGAGGAAGGATGAGAAGCAATAGAAGAAGAAGAAGGAGAAGGGTTAGAAAGTGGGGGATTTTTAAGGTCGTTCCCCTCATCAAACTGCTCTAGGTAGCTTTTTACATCATCGTCCGAATTGGATGAGTGCAGGGGGTCTTTTAAGTCTTTCCCTTCTTAGATCGTTGAGCAGTGCTTTTAACGTCATCACCCTAATTGGATGTGCTTTGAGTGGAAGACGGCACATGGATGTCCTCTTGATGAGAAGAAGGAGGATCGTGCTTGGGATAAATCCAGCAAGGTTGGCAGTGGGAGAAGGGGCCTGAGAAATTCCTGCTCAACTGATAGTTGAATGGTCTTATTTCTCTGGCGAGCAGCCCTTGGTGCGCGTCTCTTTCTGGTTTTATGAGGTGGTGTTTGGTTTGTCTTACTAGGTTTGTGAACAGCCCTAGCTTAGCGAACTGCTTCTCGCCTTAAGGACTTGAGTCTGCTTCGTCCGTTTTGAACTATCCATGGATGAGAAGTCAAGAATCTGAATTGTTATTAACAGAGTCATGTGTTGGGAGGTCCTTCTCTTGCACCAGTGGCACAGAGGCTTGGGGATCACTTACTGGAGCATTGTAAAACTCCTGGCATTCCCCCATTTTCTTTGCGAATATGTCATGGAACTGATGCATTCCCACAGGTAGTGGCCCTTATTTAGTGATACGGGCAGCAACAGTCCTCAGTCCCCTGAGTAAGGAGTCGAGGATGCCTTGCAGGTTTCGGTGTGATTATGCCTTCGTTGAGCACTATATCAAAGAAGGCGTGAAGGATACCAGACATTTCATCTTCCTCTTGGATAGTTATTGCATGGGAGGCTTCTGCTGCCCCGAAGGCCTTCTTTAAGTCTTCAAGATTTATCTGACCCTTCTGAATCAGGGCCTCGAAAATATCCTTTAGTGTGTAGCAATCATCAGTGAGATGATTGATCCTTCGATGGTAAGCACAATAATTCTCCTGAGTGTCGAGAGCAACTTACTCAAGGAACTTGGCTTCTGAAAGCTGAATCATATTTTGTTCCAATAATAATCAGAACAGTGCAGGGACCCATTCCTTCTCAAAGGGGTAGACCTTGTTCCTATGCCTGGTGAAATAATCGTCTTGATTAAGAATCACCGGCAAGGGTACTCAATTGTACGACTATGGTTGCTTTCCTTCTTACGGCATTGTCTTTGATGAGCTCACCCCTTTGGAGAGGTCCAAAGTTTGGGAGGGACCCTTCTTTGGATCAGTGACTGTGACGTAAGCACTGATTTTTCCTCTTTGTTGGTTGCCCCGGGTGTTGGTCTGAGAGCTACCATTGCCCCGGTTGTTCTCAGAGCTAATAGGCTGTTGTCGTGACCCGTCATGGTGGCGTGATAGACTTTCTATGCAGACTGACTTAGAGATCAGCTCTGACATGAATGTCGGATTCGGGGCCTCATCATGTAGAGCAATTTCAGGTCGCATGTTCCGCACACAAGTTTAGACTGCTTCCTTCTCAGGCATCGGATTGGGATGGCGAGCGGCCAAGTTCCTCCATCTTGATATGAATTGGTCCAAAGGCTCATCAGGGTCATGAGTCAGGTTGAGAAGTTCAATGGCTTGGACATCTCTCTTGACCTCATAGAAGCGTTGGTAGAACAGTTTCTCAATTTCCTCCCATGGGTACTGAGTTTGAAGGGAGTCTGGCATACCGCTGAAAAGCTGGGCCGTCAAGGGTTTCAACAAACCAACGGAGAAGAAGACTCCCGTCAGCCGCTGTTTCTCGACATGCTGCCTGGAAGTGGGCAATATGCTGCTTCAGGGACGTGGTTCCGTTGAATAAAGGAAACTTCCCTTTCTTATAATTTGAGGGAAACGGGACCTAGTCAATGTATGAAGGGTATGGCCTTTAATAAGGCGTTGCACCCTGTATCCCAGGGATTTGTCTGTTCTTTAAGCTATGGGTCACTATAGTGTCAATGTCTGCATGAGAGACGAGGTGATGGACAGAATTGTCCTGTGAGGCAGAAGGAAGAGGCTGCCTTGGAGATACACCATCCGAGTGATGTTAATTGACCTCATGGTTAGCTGATTGTCATGCGACATTTATACAACCTATCTTTTCCGTCATCGCGCGCACCATCTCTTCAAATTTGTTCATGCGCTCTTCCTACGCATCACCAGGCTCAGTTACAACCATTACGATGACTATTTCTCTTGGGAGATCAGCGTTAGATGCAATTGACGGCTTGTGAACGTGATGGGTCATGTGTAGTAGATCGATTAGCAGGGGCTAGCATGCTCCAACTGGACACGACTCTTGTATGCCGATCGTGTGAGGACCTGTTCTCGAGGGTGTTCGGACCGTGGTTGCTGAGTGGTTGGGTCATCTTCTATGACACTAATCACAGTGTAGGGCTCATGGGCATCTTCTTCAGGCTTCGTCATGTGAAGAGGGTAAAAGGGATTCTGGTGGAGAGGGTTATCAGAGCTGGTTCCCCCGACCGCCTTGGTCACTTCCTTGGTGAGAATTTGCAAACCACTATCACACTTAGCTTTAAGGCTTTGATAGACCTCTCGCCAAAACTGTGATCGGGAATGCGGCTGGTCAGCTCTTCTTGAACAAGATAGAGTGATCACCATCAGGTGCGGCAAAGGATGAGGGTCAGGGACTGAAGTCATCTTGAGCCGGGGAGGATGAAGGACTCTATCTTTGATCAGGTCATTGCCCTGAGCTCTCTTTTGGGCCCCCAAAGACACGATCGAAATGAGAGGGCTGGTTCAGGGTGGCACTCTTGGGGAAAGTCTTCGAG